ACAGTCTCTTATCAGTCTTTCCAAACTTCCTCTTCCTTAGACTAATGTTGACATGCCAGCTCCCCTGCCCCCCACCCAATCCTGCTTCCTTTCCTTGGGAAGTCAAAGGTTCAAGGGCGGAGGCAACACAAATGCAGTGTTCCCTTCTCAAACCCCTGCCCCGGTCATCTCACTTATTTCTCAGCTCCTCCTGCACCGAAGGAATTCCCCCACTGAGTCACCTCTCCCAAAGATGCCCTACCCCATTCCTTTACCCTTGCCCCCATACTGGAGACAATTCCTAGAGCAGTCATTTTTAACCTTTGAGGCCTCCTGGACTCTGTAGAGAATCCCTGTCTTTCCCCCGAGGAGCAGGTGGTGGATTAGAACTGCAGACCTTGTGGATCGCAGGCTACGTCATGAGAGAATCTAAAGAACCCTATAAAAATGCACTTAACCCAACAGACATTTTTCAAAGCAGATCACCAGAATCAAAGAATCCAAGTTAAGAATTCCTGTAATACATGTTTAGTGAAATTCTAGCAGTGTGACCCAGGCACATTAATAATTCCCTGTGCCTGGAGTCCCCCTGTCTTTAATGGTCAGTTTGGTTTGGGGGTTGAGCTTGTCAGTGGGAGCCGTGGTGGCATAATGGTTATGCATTGGGCTACCTTCAAGGTCTGCTTCTCCGAGGGAGAAAGACCAGACTTTCTATACCTGTAAGGAGTCCCAGCCTCAGAAACCCATGGAGACAGTTCTGCCCCGTCCTATAGGGTCACTATGAGCCAGAATTGACTCGATGGCAGTGAGTTGGGTGTCTGGACCTTCTTAACTTCCTTAGTGGTATGGCGTCAGTTCTCACTCATAGCAACCCTATGGAAAAGAAGAGAGAACTGCTCCTGTGGTTTTCGGAGGCTGGAAATCGTTACAGGGGCAGCCTCATCTTTCTGGTGGTGGGTTCAAATGCTGACCTTGTGCTTAAAGGCCCAATGTGTAACTTCCTGCACCACCAGCTCTCCTCACCTGCTCAGGGGAGCCCTTGAATGGTGCAAGTGGTTAATGCACTTAGCAGCCAACCAGAGATGGGAGATTCAGATCTACCTCAGAAGAAAGACCTGGTGATCTACTTCCCAAAAAATTAGCCCCTGAGAACTCCGTGGAGCACAAGTCTACACTGTCACACATGGGTCGCCCTGGGTTGAAATGGGCTCAACAGCATCTGGTACTGTGTCACATTGTCATGAGGTTTAAACGAGGCAACACCTGTCAGGCAGTTTACAATCTGTCTGGCAAATAGGAGTCTTGAATAAGTGCTACTATTGTTACATCGCTTCTGTGGCCATCAATAGTGGAATGGAAGGCTGCTCTCGCTCTTCTGGGTAAGAAACACGACCCTAGACAATTAAATGAAAGAGGAAGACAGTGTCGACTTAAGTCAGAGGGGGGGGAAATGGCTGCTGGTGGTGGGATAGAGGTATCCCAGAGGCCAGCAGATCTCTCATTCCAAGCCCTTTCCATATTTTATCTCATGTACCTCGCACTCAGCACAGCAGGGCGCCTGGAGTTGGCGGAGCCCATGCAACACCCCTGTGAGGGAGGCAACGTTCTCCTTGCTGAGGAGGGTTATATCCCTTCCTAAGATCACACAGCTACCGAGTGGTGGAACCTAATGTCAACGCCTGGTCTGATCCCCAAGCTGGTGGGATCTGCACTGGTCTAGATGGAAGGAGGTAAGGGAGCCAGGAATGTCTGAGCAGAGAGAACCAAGCTTCATGCCCTTTGAGCCCTGGGGAGACCCTCCTCTGGGGCCAATGGCTAGACAAGGTTGGCCAAGCTGGGGTGGGGAAGCTGTGGCAGGAGTACAGGGTGGCCTCGGCAGCGAGACCCGGCTTCGATGCTCAATCGCCTTCCGGACCCTCGGACTGAGACTGGGAGGATGGTTGTTGCTGTACTCTTTCCCCCACGGGGACTTCTCCACCACCTCCCTGCCCCACCACCTCAGGACACTCAAAACCCCAAAGTACACTTACTGCCATTGGGCTGGTTCTGACTCTTGGCAACCGTACAGGACCGGGTGGGACTGCCCCGGTGGCTTTCTGAGACTGACTCTTTCCAGGAGTAGAAAGCCTCCTCCTCTCCCATGGAGTGGCTCAGGGTTTCCAACGGCTGGCTTTGTGGTTAGCAGCCTCACGGTGTGACCACTATGCCCTCAGGGCTCCTCCTTCAGGGCCCTGGAGCCAAGCAAGGCAGGGTATCCTGGAGCAGCCTGCCTCACCCCTACCTCCAAAGTCCAGGCCCAAGCCCTCTGCCCCAGCTAGATCCTGGGAAGTCGCCAGCCTTTATCTCTGCCTCTCAATACCTCCTCCCTGGTACCTTCCTTCCTTTCCTGATTGCTGATCACAATGTCTTGTTTATATGTTGTTGAAAAAGAGGGAGGGGTGCGGGGAGAAAATAAAGTTCCAGGAATTGTTTTCCCATGGCTGCTGCTATTGCTTAGTGTGAAGCTGTCTGCTCCTCTCTCCTGCCCAGGCCTCCTGCCCCTCCCTCTGTCCCTTCTGTCCAGCTTCACTCTCCCAGCTTCCCACCCAGCCCTCCCAACTCTCTCTCTCTCTCTCTCTCTCACAGAAACTGCGGAGTTGTCACTTACTTCTTCCTGAGACAGCTGTTTTTCCCTGAGCCTCTGCCAGAAGGAGCCACTGTCACGTCCTCTGCCCGAAAGCACTTTCTGGATGATAGGAGGAGGGGACACGGGGACAGGTGGGGGTGAGGCTGGCATTACAGCTTAAATGCAAGCACCCCATCTGCAGAAGACTAAGAATGACCATGAAAACCCCATTGCCGAGTCCCCTACGTGGGTCAAGCTTCCACTGCCTTCCTCTGCTCACTCGGCAAGGATGTAGCTATCTTGCCTTGGGAAGCAGCTGGCCTCCCCCTCTCCAGCCAGCGGGCGCTCCCAGGGGCTGGCCTGGCTCTGTCTTTGATGGAGATCACCTTACTGGGGGACAGGATAGGGTCAGGAGTCGCGTGTGCGGGTCGTCACTGCCTTGGTGGGGAAGCCCGGCACCACTCTCACAAGCTGACATAATGGACGCGTCCCAGTCATGGTACTGAGCCCGCTTCTGTAACTGTGATGCACTGATCTGCCGCCCATCATGTATTGCTGACAGTCCCCTTAGCCCCAATCCCTGTTTCTCCAGCGTCCTCACTGTGGCTCCTTGGACATCATTATAGCCTCGTGCCCATGGCCTCCCTCATCCACATGATGTGTCTGTGTCTTTGAGTCTTCTCTGTCCCTTTGGAGACTGAATGCTCTTCTTGCATTACATTTGAGATCAGGGTCTCCTTTGTACCTTCAAACAGGGTGCTGTTGCCAGGTGAGAGGGCAAGGTCTTGGGGTGGAAGGACCAGCGGTCCAGGGGACATGAACCACTGAAATGCAGACTTCAGAGCAATGGAAGTGGTGGAGGGTGTCAGAAGGGACCCCCTGGGAGGCTGCTTGCTCTAGAAGAGACTCCT